AAGACAGTTTTTGGGACGCCCTGAAAACTGCCATTAGATACATAATTTTTTTCAGGACAGTCCTGAAAAGCAACAAAAGTCCTGGAAACTGCCATTGTGTCGCACACAATGTCCCGAAAACTACCTCTGCACATATATATATATATATATATATATATATATAACAATGTGTATATATATGTGTATATATATAACAATGTGTATATATAATTATTTTTATAAAATTACAAGTTATATAAAATGGGACATCCTATTTAAATATCCTATATATATATATATATATATATATAATATGTCAAAAATAAGATAAAATAGTACAATAATATATTATATTTCTGTGTGCAGGTGCCGAGGCACAGTCCGCCGCGTGAGCCTCTTTTGCCGCTGAATCCATGCGTGGATCCCGAGTCGCCGGCTCTCTTGCCGTCGCCGCCGCCGCCGAATCCAGGCATGTATCCGGGCCGCCGTCTCTTTTTTTCTCTCCTACCTCCGACGATCTTTTTTATATAGTTATTATATATTGTTATATATCTTGTATATCGTTTTATATATAGTTTTATATAATTTATATATCTTTTGTACTTTTTATATTTTATATTTTTATTATATATATTTTTATTTTATAAATTTTAATACATTTTATATAATTGTATATAATTAATATATCTTTTATACTTTTATATATTTTTTATATATATCGTTTATACTTTTTTATTATAAATTTTATAATTTTTAATTTTTATACAGGGTGTCCGGCAACTAACGGACTAATGATTAAGGGCGGTTTCTTTGGCCATTTTGGAGACAATTTTTCCTTAGCAAAAATGTTAAGAAGTCAATAATTTTCGAGTTATAAGCGATTGAAAAAAATGGGTCTTTTGAAAACTAAACGTTTTGGAGTTAAAAGTCTAACATAATTACATTCTTTAGTTAATTTCAGGTAGAGTTTATTATAATAAAATTTTAATTTGAGGCTTAGTTATAAAGATACATAATGACAAATATTGGAAAGTTGTAAAAAATGATGACTTTTTTTGACATTTTCGCTGAGGAAAAATCGTTTCCAAATTGACCAAAGAATCCATTTGTAATCGTTGGTCCGTTAGTTACCGGACACCCTGTATTTACACACACACACACACACACACACACATTTATAATAAATTATATATTATGTATAAAATATTGTACAATTAAACCATTTCGTTTTCCCATCTCTTGCGACACCCCACTAGCAAAATAAAAATAATATAAAAATAATAATAAAAATAAAAATAAAATTTTTAATATATTTCTTTTAAAAAAATAAATTTTTATAGTCTCTCTTCTGCATTATCATCTCTTCTCTTGTCGCGTGGGCTTCTCTCGCCGCCGGCTCTCTCTCCTTTGCGCCTCTCCACGTGGGCTTCTCTCGCAGCTGCCGGATCCAAGCATGGATGCGACCCACCGGCTCTCTCTCCTTTGCACCTCTCTCTCTTTCGTGCCTCTCCACGTGGGCCTCTCTAGCAGCCGCCGTATCTCTCGAACGCGTAGACACACGGGGGTATAAATAAGCGCTAATAATCGAGCGCGGCTGCTTTAGAAATAGATAGCGCCTGATGATATAGCCCTCTGTGAAAAGTTTTTGAGTGGGGGTAAAGGCTTACGAGAGATGCCTATTTGCAATGGGCATCATAAAGTTACGAGCAGCTTCAGAAGCAGCAACAGCAGAAGCATCAGCAAGACCAAAATAAAAAAATGACGGGAGGATATTTGCACGGTATCGACCCCGAAATAGTAAGTATAGTATTTTAAATAAATGTAATATTTTTATATTTTTATATATTTAATTTATATATTTAATATTAATTTCAGATGATCCAAGCCCTCATCCTGAATAGGGAACCGGTGGTGCCGAGGGTACCGGTTATTGAGGAGGAGGAGGAGAGGCAGGGACGTAGGGAGTGGTGGGAGCCCACTGACAAACAGTGGGTCAGGTGGCAAAGGGCGAGGAGGCGGGAGGAGCTGGACGTGCTGTGGGGCGACGTCCAGGGGGCGCGACACCTGGAGGGCCATTACCCGGATGTATGGGCAAACGAGTTCGGCCTAGTGGAACTGTTTGATCTACCAGAGCCGTACGATTGGGGCCCGATTCTCCGGGAACTTGAAGGCGAAGACTGGAACGGTAATAATAATTAAGAGAAATTTTTTAAATATAATACTGTATTATATTTATAAATTAATAATTGTTCTGCTTACAGACCCGTCCGACGTTCCAGTAAGGCCTCAGCTTTAGTCTCAGCCGACATCATCCCACCACCGCCGTCGCCGCCGCCGCCGTCACCGCCGCAACCCTCGTCCCCGCAATCACCCATTTTATAATTAAGATTTATTTTTTATTTTTCATTTTTATATTTATATTTTTATATTTTTTGTATTTTTTTTATATAATTATTGTTTCGGCTGATAATCGTTTTCTGAACGATCGGTGGGCAAGGAATGATTGGATGTAATAACGAAGTCTTCGTCGGTGTCGAATGCTCCTTTTAATTGTTGTTCGTCCTTCTCTCAACAAGATTGGATTCTACGCCGTCGTGCGGAGATATACAATTTGTGCAGGAGAAGACTGTGCGCTTTCCGAAGAATACAAAGCGATGGATTTTCAATATAATTTGCCTGGCCTGTTGTCGTTTAGACGGCAGAGCGCTGACTCATCTCGGAAACGGGCATCGGATCGCTCGAACCTGCCGGTCTCCGAGAAAAGTGGGAGAATTTCCGAAAATAAGAGCGCAGACAATAACATGTTTTGTAATATTTTTCATCGATGAGCTGTGTACTCGCGCGCGCAAACAATACGAAAGTCGAGGCGAGCAATTATCGCGGAATCGATTCCGAAACATACCGCCCGCTTCGAATGTATATTCAAAATGAGCGAATGGTAATAAACAAGAAGTTCGCTTCGGCTTGCGTCAACGCCGATAATATTGACAACAAATTGACAGAAATCAACTTAATCGAGTTTAACGGTTTTATCGTGATTATAAGGCGACGAACGACAAACATACATAAAAAAGTAACAAATTAATTTTAGACAAATTAACAAACAAAAAGAGAAAAAAAAATAATGAGAGCAAGTGCTCGCTTTACTTATCGTCTCCGCCCGCCGTGCCGGAAGTCATTGACATCTCTTGATTGATGTCAACAGGGAGATAACAAATTTTTATGATAGGGCGCTTATATTCGGCGCGGCTCGTTCAGACGGTGACGACTCTCGTCAAGCCGTTGGCGCCGGGATGACACGCAATTCGGCCGAGCTCCCAATGACTCGGAGGAGCTTGCGGATTTCGTAAGAGAACTAATTGTCCGACGCGCGCTAATTTTCGCACAATTCGCCATTTCGAGCGTTGTTGGAAGGTGAGCAGGTAATCGTTGCGCCAAGATCTCCAAAAACCTTCGGTGATGCGCTGCGTAATCTGCCAGCGCGACAGTCGATTTTCGTGCAGGTCGAGAACGCTGAGTTCGGGAGATGCCACTAGCGGGGCGCCGATTAAAAAATGCCCAGGAGTCAAGACGCGGTAGTCCTCCAGATTTTCGGAGACGGCGGATAGCGGTCGAGAATTTAGACACGATTCGATCCTACAGAGGAGGGTGTTCATTTCCTCGTACGTGAGGGTGTGCGCACCTTATACATCGTTTGAGATGCGTTTTGACGCTACGCACACCGGCCTCCCAGAGACCGCCGAAATGTGGGGCGGCAGGGGGGAGGAAATGCCACGATGTTTTTTCGCAAGCGGTCGCCTCAATAAAAGTCGGATTGCGGAGGGCGCGACGATGGGCATTGGCTAATTCGCGATCGGCTCCTTGAAAAGTTGTGCCATTATCGCAATACATCCTTTGTGGAAGACCTCGTCTTGACACAAACCGATGATACGCTGCGATAAAGGTTGCGGAAGTGTAATCGGTCACGATTTCAAGATGGATAGTCTTAGTCGTGAAACATACGAACAGGGCGATGTACGCTTTATGCGATTTATGTCCGCGCCCGGGTGCACTTCGCAACAGAATGGGACCAGCATAGTCGACTCCCGTGTGTGAAAAAGGTCGCGCCGCGCGGTTTACGCGAGCCGACGGAAGATCTTCCATGAGTTCGTTTGGAATGGTCGCAGCCTCGCGGACACATCGCACGCATTTATGAAGAACGGCGCGGACGCAAGTACGGAGAATCCAGAATTCGGATCGTAAGGATGCAAGAGTCAGTTGTGAACTGCCGTGTAGCATGCGATGATGGTGATGATCGATGATGAGAGAAAGGAGGGGATGCGACCGAAGGACGATCGGATACTTCGTCGAATCTGGCAGGTGAGCGTGACGTAGACGTCCGCGGACGCGGATGAGTCCGTCGGCGCTCAGCGAAGGATTGAGAGATGCAAGTGGACTGGATTTGGACACGGATCGCTCCGCAGCGAGACAGGCTAATTCGGCGGGGAACATAGCTGCCTGTATACATCGGAGCCAGTACACTTTGGCTGCAGCGATTTTGTCGACCCGCGAACTGAGTTCGAATGATTGGTTTCGCGGTCGCGCGAGATTCCCGAATCGAATGAGATACGAGGTCACGCGAGATTCCCGAATCGAATGAGATACGAGGTCACGCGAAGCAATTTCGGCCAGGATGAGAAGCGAAACGCGAGATCCCATAGTTCCGGAGGACCCTGAGAGTCCGCGACGTGTACGTTTCGCTTTTCCAAAAGATCGTTGGGTGTGATCTCATCTTGAACGAGGTGGCCGTTCGGCCAAGAGGTCGGAGGGAGGGACAGTAACGGGGGTCCGTGCCACCATAACGGGTGTTAAGCTAGCTCGTCCGGAGCAATCCCACGGGACGCGGCATCGGCTGCGTTATCGTGAGTAGCCACAGGGATGTCTGGTAAGATTGTTTAAATGGACGCGACGCGATTTGCTACGAACGTTCGCCAGCAGGACGGCGATTTACTTAGCCAGGCGAGCGTTATTGTGGAATCCGTCTAACAATATGTCTCGATGTTCGGCAGTTGAAGCGTCGTTCGAACGAACTGCACGAGACGCGAGAGATGTGCAGCGGCCAGCTCAAGACGCGGAACGCTTAGTGTTTTGAAGGGGGCGACCTTTGACTTCGCGGCGAGCAAGCAAACATCGATCGATCCGTCGATGTGAATGTTACGGAGGTAGACTACCGCCGCGTAGGCTTTCGTAGAGGCGTTTGAGAAGCTGTGTAACTCAGCTTTCAAGGTATGAGAGCCGGATCGCGTCCAGCGCGCGATTTCGAGTTGGTGAAGGCACGATAATTTAGAATGATACCGTTCCCAGGCGGTTGCGTAATCAACGAGAATGTCGTCGTCCCAATCGCATTTTAGTTGCCACAAGGTTTGCAGGAAGATTTTCGCGGTAATCACGATGGGGGTGATCCAACCAAGCGGATCAAACAATCTTGCGATGGTCGATAAGATCTCGCGTTTCGTTTTCGAGACATGTACCGGGAGAGAAACTTTAACTTGAAAGATATCGCGACCCGGGTCCCACGTGAGACCTAGCACGTTCAGTCGCTCATCGTCGTGTAGATCTTTCGAACAGGCCAGGCCGTGATCGGACGGATCAATATCCGACAGAAGATCCTCGCAATTGCTCACCCACTTTCTCAAGCGAAAACCGCCCTTTGATAATAAAGCGACAAGTTGATCGCGAGTCTGGCGCGCGAGAATTTTATCATCGGCGCCGAACACGCTGTCGTCGACGTAAAGTTGCGACAGGAAGACCGGTACCGCGAGCGGGAACGAGGCGCCTTCGTCTTGCGCTAACTGTCGCACCACACGGAGAGCGAGGTAAGGAGCGGAGGCGGTGCCGTAGGTAACGGTGAGTAATTGATACTCATCGACTGGTTGTTCCGGAGACTCGCGCCACAGAATCCTCTGGTAGTCAACATTGCGTTGATCGACTAGTATCTGTCGATACATCTTTGCGATGTCGGCAGTGTAGACATAGCGATGTTGACGCCATCGCATTAGCACTGTGACGGGATTGAGCTGGAGCTTAGGCCCGACCAGCAAGTGGTCGTTTAGGGACGTTTCGTCCGAGGTTCGGCACGACGCGTTGAAAACAACGCGTAAGCGCGTTGTCGCACTGCTGTCTCGTACGACAGCGTGATGCGGGATATAATAGCGGTGGGAGACATCCTCCCGGTGATTATCGGGTGGCGCGATGGTCATATGGGGCCGAGTTGACGATATTCGGTAAGGAAATCGCGATAGGCGGAAGCCGTATCCGGCTGGCGAAGGAAACGCCGTTCGAGACGTTGAAGGCTGGCGAAGGCGACGGCGCGCGATTCGCCTAATGACATTGCGGTGTGACCTTTAAAGGGCAACCGAACTACGTAGCGCCCTTGAGGCGTGCGGTAATGAGTGGACGAAAAATGTTCCTCACACTCGAGATCTTCGGGGTTTGGATGAGAGGAGAGAGGAATGTCCTCGACTTCCCAAAATCTACGGAGACTAAAATCGAGAGAGTCGAGGATGGTTCCGTGGTGCACCTGCACGGATGAGCGCGGATTGGTGAGGATGGGAGTGACGGGTCCGGAGAGGATACACCCAAAGTAGTTTTTTGAGCCGTGGGCTCGTTAACGGATTCTTTTCGAACACCGTCGAGGAGGATTAGGCCATACGGCCTTGCCTGGAACAATGGCTAGGCAGTGCCAAGGGGGGTGTATCCTATCGGATGACACAGGTGCTCACCGGACACGGCTGTTTCGGGGAGTACCTGTGTCGCATAAGGAAGGAGCGCACGGCACGGTGCCACCACTGCGACTGCGGAAGAGACACCGCTGGCCACACACTCCTGGAGTGGCTGGTCGAAAAAAAGGAGGAAGCTTGAGGCGGCAATAGGGGGGGGGCTTCTCGCTACCAACAGTAGTCAAAGAGATGGTAGCGAGAGAAGAAGTGTGGCAGGCGTTCTCCTCCTTCTGCGAGAGCACCCTCTCGGGTGAGGAGGAGGATGGAGGAGATAACCCGGAGAATGGGGACGGGCCCCCCTCCTTTTCCGCCATCGGCGAGTTCGCTCGCTTGTGGTGGCGGGGATCGGGGGGGGGGGGGGCGCCCCCGGAGGAGGAGATCGAAGTAGACGTGGGGGCGGGCCCCCTCTTTTCTCGCCGTCGGCGAGCTCGCTCGTTTGTGGCGGCGGGAATCGGTGGGGGCGCGCCCTCGGAGGAGGAGGAGGTAGTCGGAGAGACAGGGGCGGGCCCTTTCTTCCCCCGCCGGTGAGCTTGCTCACCCGTGGTAGCGGGGGCCGGGGGGGGGTCCGCCTCAACTATACCCGCCTCAGACCATGACGCGGGATGAGGTCTCCGGGGGGGGGGAGCCTTAGGCCCCAGGGCTCCCCCCCGAAGACCTTTCGGGGTTCTGGGGCGCGGGCGCGCCGCCTCGCCTAGGCGGAGTCGGCGCGGCCGCGCCTCCGAACGGTAAACCCCCTCGGCCGCGGCCAAATCCCAACTCCCAAGGGAGTGGAGGAAGCCGTGACTGGGGGAACCGAGGGGGGGGGGCCACGCGTCCCTGGCGGGTGGGCATCGCCCGTTCGTCCGGGGCGCCTGGACCACCCCTCTATGACGGAGACGTGACGTGCGGGACCCTCTTACCGGGAGCCGTAAGGCACCGGTGGGAGGGCAACGTCGTCCACGGAGGGGGTTTCTCTTCTTCCGAGAGAGACCCCCTGGAGAGGGCCTCCAGGGCGAATGCCGATTCCTCATTCTTTTGGGTGGGGGAGGGAGCACCGCTCTGGAGGCGGGGGGTGGCGGCTCGAGCGGAATACTCGAGCCGTGACCCCGCCCCCCAAACTCTTTAGGAGGGCGCGACGTGGGGTTGATACCGCCCTGCATCGCAACCGCGAGGACCCCCGCACGATGCAATTCGCGGGGGGGGGCCGCCTTCAGCGGCACTCTCCCAAGGAGGGATTAGGCGGGGGGACGGCCAGTCGGCATGGGATACCAGCATCCTGGCCGTACCCCACTAACGCCCGTGAAGGTATCCGTAGTGGGTTTAGTGAGGTATGTCTTGGGCCCCCTGACCGATCCATTCGTAGATCGGCCAAGGGGAACAAGAAGTCCCACATAACCACCCGCTCTCTACCCGGAGGCGGGGGTATCCATGAGGATTCCCACTACGTTAAAAAAAAAAAAAAAGGATTAGGCCATACAGGTCGGCGCCGATAATGACGTCAATCGAATCGCGACTCATAAGATCTCCGTCGGCTAAACGCAATCCGGAAATATGCGACCAGCGACACGCGGAATTGATGCGATTTGGCGTGTATTTCGTTAAGCAGTGGAGAACGAGAGCGGTCGTCGAGTACGCCGGTTCATCGCCGAACGCAGGAGTTACGATGATGGTAGTTGCATGGTGCGACACGGATTGTTTATCACCGATGCCAGCAATCCGAACTGCTTGCTTAACGCGCGGTAAGCGTAAGCATTGGGCGATCGATTCGGTGATAAGCGTGACCGCGGAACCTTGATCAATCAAGGCGCGAACCGTAACTACTCGTCCTTGTGGCGAGTGCACGCGAACGCGGGCAGTGGCGAGGAGAATCGCGGCCCGCGGTGACACCGTATTTGTAGAGAGATGCGTTGCGACGTCGATATTAGTCGAGTCGCTCGACGACGTCGCGACCGCGGATTCGACGGCATCTCCTTGCTTTACGGATGTGTCAAAATGCAAGAGCAAGTGATGCTTTTTTTCAACAATGTTTGCACGTTCGCGGGCTCGTGCACTCCTTCACAACGTACTTCGCGCTGAAACAATTGATACAACGCCGGTTGTGGCGGATGAACTCGAATCGTTCCGACGGTGTTTTGCTAGCAAAGGTCGAGCACTGATATAACAAATGTTTGGCTTTGCAGACCAGGCACGTGACGTTCACGGAAACGCCGGAATTGGAGGCGAGTACGTTACGTTTCGTCAGTTTATAAGATTCGGATGCCTTTTCTTTCGGGTTTGCGGGCGCGATCGCGTCGAATGCGCGAATTGGAGTATCGAGGAATTGCGTGAGGTCTTTAAAGCGAGGATACTCGCTGGTTTCGCCAAGCTTTATTTCCCACGCCTCATTGGTTGATTTATCGAGTTTCTGCGAAACGAGGAAGACCAATATGTCATCCCAGTGCTCGACCGGACGCCCTAAATTCTTTAACGCATGTATCGCAGCGTGGGTCTGATCACAAAGCTGCCGAAGGTCTATGGAGTTGTTACTCGGAACCGCGGGTAAATCAACTAGCGTTTGCAAATGCCCGGTAATCAAGCGTCGTTTATTTTCATAACGGGAAATTAAGAGATTCCACGCGACGACGTAATTCGCGTCCGTAATCGCGAGGTGGCTCAACGCCTTACTAGCTTCACTCTTTACACAAGAACAAAGGTAATGTAACCGATCGACGTTTGATAGCGAGGTATCATTAGCGATTAACGAGGTGAATCGATCGCGGAAGTTTTCCCACTTGTCAAAGCCTCCCTCGAACGTCGGTAAATGTAGCTTTGGCAAATGTGACGACCGGCGAGAGAAATCGGAAGAATTGCTTACGTCCAAGGCTGTTGACTGATGCCGCGGTCCCGGTTCGAAAACCTCGAGAACCTCTGCCATATAGTCAGACGTTTCGTTAAAGACGTCCTCGCAGGCAAGGAACTGCTGCTCCTTGAAGTAAGGCAGGTGCGTCTTCTGGGTATCACTGGCCAGACGAGTGATTTTTGAATGGAGTTCCTGGCACTTCGAAAAGATGACCTTTAGGTTGGCAAGGCGCACCTTAGTAGCAGCACGAGTCATTCGTGATTGACCAAGTTTTTTGAAATTTGGCAAAACTCGTGAGACTGAATGCATCATCTGTGTCTGATCGCTGATTAACTCTTCGACGTTTGACATGATGCCGGTAGATCGTTAATACTTGATTTCGTCTTGCCACCGATCCGGCTCGAAGGACCACAATGTTTCGGCTGATAATCGTTTTCTGAACGATCGGTGGGCAAGGAATGATTGGATGTAATAACAAAGTCTTCGTCGGTGTCGAATGCTCCTTTTAATTGTTGTTCGTCCTTCTCTTAACAAGATTGGATTCTACGCCGTCGTGCGGAGATATACAATTTGTGCAGGAGAAGACTGTGCGCTTTTCGAAGAATACAAAGCGATGGATTTTCAATATAATTTGCCTGGCCTGTTGTCGTTTAGACGGCAGAGCGCTGACTCATCTCGGGCATCGGATCGCTCGAACCTGCCGGTCTCCGAGAAAAGTGGGAGAATTTCCGAAAATAAGAGCGCAGACAATAACATGCTTTGTAATATTTTTCATCGATGAGCTGTGTACTCGCGCGCGCAAACAATACGAAAGTCGAGGCAAGCGATTATCGCGGAATCGATTCCGAAACAATTATATATTTTTTATATTTTTATATTTTTTTTATTTTACATGTATTATATTATATTTTTTATATTTACACACACACAGTAGAGAGTGGTTGGAGTCATTAAATACCGCGGGAGTGACGAACCGTGGGTTCCTTATCTCTACTGTGACACACACACACACACACACATACACATGAGGTGTAAATCCGACCGGCAATCTCCACGTGGTACACCTCGGGTAATGCCGGCGGTATTGTACAAATAAAAAAATAATAAATAAAATATATATTTATTATAATAAAAATATTTAATAATTTTAAAAAATGTTTCCCTCCTTCGATATTCCTAAACAAAAAATTAAAATGAAATATTCTCTCCTTCGCGTCTCTCTCCTTCGCGCCTCTCTCTCCTTTGCGTTTCTCTCTTCTTCGCGTCTCTCTCGCCATATCTCTCGCCGCTATCTCGAGCCGCCTAAGTTCTCTCGCCGCTACTTGGCGCAGCGTCTTCTCACGATATGTCTTATTTCACCGTCTCTCTCACTCTCACGCTGCGTCGTATTTCGCCGTCTCTCTCGCGCTGCGGCCCGTCTTCTTACTCTCTGTTTCTTAATGAGACCGTCGCGTGCGCCTCGCGATACAATTATCGATTTTCTCTCTGCTGCCGCCGGATCCAAGCATAGATACGGCCCGTCTTATCTCTAACCTCGTAAGATAAAAATATCAATTTTTTCTCGCTGCCGCTGCTGCGACAATGTCCTTGACACGATAATTATCTCTCGCAAAGTATGTAACAAGTGGCGTGCAAATAAAGTACACCATGATATATACATATA